CCAGACTTTGTTCTAAAGTTTATATCTTGTATTAAAGTAAAAAAGCAATTTTTGGGTTTTTAGCCTTTAAACTCAAATCAATTTTACTTTGTCAAATTCGTATCAAAAAGCGTGTAAGATTTAAAAACTTAGCATCTATTGACCTCCCTGCAGGGTTTCCGTGTACATACTTAAACATTAATATAGCCGTACACATGCAATACATACGTACAAATAGTACAATGTTTTTTAACAATAAAATAAGCATACGCTCGGTGTGTTTTCAATTGCGTGGGTGCTTATTTGAATGTCACATAATATTGCAGAGCTGCATTTCTGCAGCATACCACCGTTTGACGCTTGTCCACTTGCCCTTGTTTGTTCCTTTGTGTCACACAATAAAACTAATACATATGTAGTACACATACATAAATGCCCACGTACATGAATATATAAACAAAGCAGAAAGTGCATTTATTTGTAGGCAAGTTAAAGTGGAAATAAGCTAACTGTGCGTTTGTGTTGGCGCGATCACGGCAAACAATGCAACACAAAACATTTGAAACGATTTAAAACTGTATTCTTCTGTCATGACTTTTGTGTTGTTCTCAGTTAAACTTTATTTTTTTTTTTAGTTTTTCATTTCAATTAAAGTTATCGCATTTATAAAAGTGCCGTTATTCTTTCATTATATGCAATTGTGCCTGTAATCCGCACCATGTTCACTCAGTAGCAGTTAGTGGCAGTTTGTGAACGTGTAAATTACATCCTTGATTCGTGAAAAGTTTAATATTTTAACCTAAAGGTTAATATAAGATCCTAGATGACTACGATAGGCTTCTGTAGAGTTTATAATGTTTGATTGTCCAGTTGTTAAAGTTTCGTGAATTAGGAGAGTAAAATGTTTCCAAAAATCCTAATTGCAAATGGACATTTATAAGGCAAACTCAAAAGTTTCTTTACCCGAATGGGATCTATATGTTTTGGTAGCTAACCGCAAAATTATTTAGGAAAAGGTAATCATATATTAATATAAAATATTAAACTACAAGTCTGGTATTAACAACGTTTAAACTTTCGAAGTAGCTGTGAAAATCGATTATACGATGGATCCTTAAAAAATCTACCATTTTCACTTTCCAATTTTTTTGCATTACTTTGAAAAATATTCGATACCTTTGATAGAAGTACCATGCAGAGCAGATTTTGGCAATAGGTTTTAAATATTATATTTCCTCTGTGATATCTTGACAAGCTCGTAGTATAGTTTTAAACTAAATAAATTTATTATAAACTTCTTTTCAAATCAGAAAAAAACAAAAAATCTGAACTCTTGAGGATTCGAAAAATGGCCTCTCACATATTCCCATACTCAATACTTGCACATTGGATAGCTAGAGGATAACATGACCAATAGTCTAATAAAAAAATTTTTATAAGGTGTGTTCTAAAAATAACGGGAATTTTAAAATTAAAATTTCGGAGGTTTGGAGAATCCATTTGTCAATTTCTTTTATTATGTTGATATACAATATATGCTATGTAGATTTTCAGCTGTTTTCATTTCTTACTTTGTCTGTAGCAGTCGTTAAGGTTAGACTTGCTGGTCGATTTTCGTTTGTTAAAAGAAATGGATCAAAAAATTTGTGCGTGAATTCTTAGCCAAAAACAATCCTGTAAGGATGCTCTAACCACCATATTCACGAGACATGGCTCCGTGTAATTTTTCCCTGTTTCCAAAAATAAAGAGAACCTTAAAGGGGCATTGCTGAATGAATGAATAAATACTATCCCAAAAACCAAGTTTGATAAGTGTTTCGGCGACAAAATTAATGTTAAAAAGTAAATAAATATTAAAAAAAAAAGAAAATTTCCGTAATTTTTTAACACACCTCGTTTATACTTCTTAACTAAATGATTTGATACTTTGCGGTATGGTTTTTTTTTCTTAGAATGATCACTAAGACGACGTTTCTTCTGCCCAAAAAAACTGTTTCTTCATATGATAGCGATAATAGGACTCTCACGAAGACAATTGGAACTCCCGGTGTGATTGTTTAGGATACAGATTTCGATTTTTACGCAATTTTTTCAGCAGTGTAGGTACTATAAACAAAATGTATCGTAGTGATTAGTTTTGCTGCTCGAATATTATCTTCAATATTAATTTAAAGATGTTATGCAGTTTGCCTAGGGTTGAATGGTTTGTAGAGATTATTCGAAGTTCTAGCTGAGTCGCTGATTTTACTCATTGTCATTTGAACCAGTCGCTTAAATTGTGCATGTATAACAAATTTAGAGATAAAGGTATTATATAATTATTATGGAAAGATGCTTCAAGGCCATAACGTATACTATATGGCGGTTTCTCATCCGGCTTTCACGAGCACAAAAAAAATTTATTTCGAAACTAAAAATTATCGTTTTTGAATAAAACTTAGGAAAGTTCCAATCCAAAAGTTAAATTATTAAGCATTTCTATGTACACATGTTTTCAAATTTACAACACATAAATGTGAGATCTTGTTTTATGTAGAGAAATTCGCACTTCAAATTTTTTTCTATGATATAATTTTATAAAATGATTTTGCCCTTATAAATCTACTTTATTGTCAAAGCAGTATAATTTTAAGCTTACGCTTTGCTTTTTTGCCCACATGTTTCTATACAGATAATCCAATATTTTCCTCTCAAATACTTTTCTAACACCTCATGCACGTCCATAAATATTTTTAATATTTTTCGTTATTTTTTTCCGAAAACATGTACGGTGTGAATGTTATTCAAACCATAAACAGAATCGTTTGACATGACTGACATTAGTTGCATGCGGACATGAGTTCACACATACACTTATATAAATACACAAATATGGTATATACATACACACATACATATTTACATGTGAATAGAAGCCAAACAAGCGAGAGTGAAAAATGATAGCATAAACATGTAGAAGTGTTTATTTCCGTTTCGTGGAAGCTGCTTTTGAGAATATTCCTCACTGAAAGCATTTGCACAAACACGCATATCTAATTACTTGTCAGCTGTCAGCAAAGTGTGCTTTTAAGCTAACCTCAAAAGTGGCACTAGGGCATTTTTGCATATTAGCCTAGGTATGTGATGTTATGTGGAAAATTAGGAAAGTGCTTCGATAACTTCGCTGATTTGTAACACCATACTAATGGCTTTTGTATGGAGTCTATAGTGGCCTTGACTTGTTGTGCCCACGATAACAAATACGAGAATAAATAGCAACCTTCTTTTTTTATGCAAAGTAAAACATTCTGAACGAAAAGTTCCTAACACCATCACACAAATTATTAATAAAAAGTATGAGCAAGCCCACATAGAAGTGCACAAGTGTAGGAAAAACAGAAAATAAAAAAATATAGGTTATTTTCGTTATAGGAAATTTCGAGTCAAGTATGGCACGGTTGTTAATTATACAAAATTCTTAGCAAAAAAACAGATCGCAATTCAATATTTCATTTAATTGAGCATCTGATATCAATTCCTTATACGGCAGCCGTGTACTTATTCGGTTGCACTTATACAGTTGCGATTAATATAAAAATTAGTCTCAATAAAGAAAAAAAAGTGAAATTATTTTGAACTGTGTATAATTTATTTGTTGAGAGATAAAAAGGTTATAACACACAAGAAAAATTCACTTACGTATATCTTTCAGCTTAATTAATAAGAAAAGTGAAATTAAAGGAAACTTGTATTTACCTCCCTGCTACGTATACATATATATTCCTAATAGTTAACTTACTATTTCTCTAAATACAATTTGCAAATTTTCTTAAAATACAGGCCACTTTTCTTTTATCTGCTTTTTTCTTGTTGGCACCAATTTTGGCTATCACAAGCGCTGAAAGTAAATCATGAGAGTAAATGAAAATTCTCTCTGTAGGAATCTAAAACGTGAAGCAGTTAAGGAACTCAAAATTGGCAACAGTTTCAAAAAATTAAATAAGAATAATTCAAGCCTGCTGAATTTATCCAAATTTTACTTACACTCTTTACTCTCTAAATAATCGACTGATGGATAATTTTTGTCATTATTAAACTCGAACTTGCCAAAATTATTATTAGTACTTAGTGTTACCCCCAGATAACGTCACTATTGCAAGATAAATTTACTACCGTGTGGTACATTCTGGTACAGGGATCGATCGTTAATTCGGTGATTGTTTCTGAAAGGGAAATCGCCTATTGAAATCAAAAAGTACTTGGATACTGTATACAGTAACTCTTCTTATTCAATGCGGACCATCAAAAATTGATTTAATGGATGTCAACCAGATCGTAAATTGGTTTTTGATGAGTGACGCCAATTGAAAGTGCCGAAAAAGGTGCGACAGTAGGCATCTCAAAATATTGAGTGGGTCCTGCATGAAACATTTTACCACTAGTATATACTAGAACCCAAGAAAAATTTGAAAGACTAGAACTGGCATACCTTCTCCGAAAAGGCGAAAACTGTCCTATCGGCCAGAAAGGTGATGACCACCGTTTTCTGGGATTTACAAGAAGTTATTTACATCGACTACCTGGGGAAGGGCAAACCGATACTATCTGGCGTAGAATAAAGCACTCTTCCACCATGACAACGAACTGGCTCACAAGTCCACCATAGCCAGGCCAAAAAAAAAAATGGAAAAAAATTTCTTCCGCATCGTCATTGTGTCGTCACAGCAATGGTAAGTGCCACTTGCAGGTCACTAAAAAACTCTCCTCTAAGGAACCGTCCCCTGCTTGTCCCTATTGAGTTGACATATCGATACAGATAAATTAATTTCAGTTAATTTTATTACGATTTTTATTCGAACAGATTTTTTGTGTGTATAATTTCTATAGCTAAAGTGTTCTTCAGCAGTGTGGACATTTCGATTACTAGTGCAAATGTGATCAACATACTCGTATATTCGTAATTTATTAACTAACTTCAAAATGTCGATTTTATAAAATATCAAACCAAACTTATTAGATAAGTATATATGTATAGTTTTCAGAAAATACAAAAACCGTTAAATTTTAGACGCTTGTGTTCCATCAGCGGCTGCAAACGAATACCAAACATGTAATAATAAATATAAACTAACTAACTTTTAATTTTATTTCCAAATTCGACGCCACGTTGTAAATATGTAGTAGTGTAAAATAATATTTATAAAGAGATGAGTAACCACTATCGTACAAAAATTAAAAATAAATTCGTACCTGATAAGCATTGCAACAAATGAATGCCAAGTGAAAAGTACAAGTGATCAGAGGGACAAAGCGACGTTGTTGTTATGCAAGAAATAGTGTTTAGTTTTTTAATGAAACTTTGTTGTCATAAAAATGGCCATCAATATATTAGATTATGACCATTACGCAATCAGTGCGATTGTCACGGTCAGCATGCAGATTTTATTTTTCCTGATTAACTCCATTTTGCAAATGGACAAGCTGACGGATTTCGCGGGTGGTGTTAATTTTATTATAATATCGCTGCTTACCTTCTTTCTGGGACAAATTGACAGACCATCAAAGGTGAGTGTTGACAAAAAAAAACTATTCATTTATGTATACATAAAAATATAAACCTGTGATATACAAGTATATATGTATTTTAAGATTAAGTTTTAGCATACTCAATAGAAAATTCAGCTAACAAGAGCTCTAAAAATCATCGCAGGCTATTGTGAAACCACTATTAGAAGATACGCGATTTCAGTTTTCGGCAAGAAATCAACAGTTGGAAAGCAATAGTTAACCAGTCTAGAGCCGCCAAAATAGTTCTAACTTTGATAATTTTTTCTTGGAGTCAGGCAGAACTTTTTCATGCTCAATTAAAGAATTTTTCAGGGTATAGAAATGTTGATATCTTGATGCCAAATGGTGGCTACTAGGTCATTTTTCGGAATCAGCTTTTTCAAAAGAGCCGACGGCCGACGATGATTCTAAGAACTCGTGCTATGTGAAATAAAAATAAACAACGGGATCTTAATGTAGATAAGAAGTGTGAATGTTTTTAAAATAACTTTATATTAAATTTTCACAAAATGGTGTACTTATCAAAAGTTTTGACTGAAAAAATATGATCAGTCCATAACTTGGAAAGTTGCAAAAATAAGAAAAAAGGAGACTATTACTGTGATGATACTGTTGAAATTTCAAGTGGATATGCGCCCAAATTAAAAAATGCGCTTGTGAAAAAACACTCTTACAGCTTTTCGTGGTGAAGCCGACGGCCCCGAAAGTTTCGACATTATAACGAATGGACAGGGAAAACATTTTTTTCACTGATCTTTTAATTGAATAATGATTTTAGAACTGTGAAGTGTACCTTAAGTTAAAAAACCACCGACTGGCCCAACCCCTTCAGCACCATCTGCCCTTCGAAGATGATTAACAACTTGTTGGACTCACCCTCTGTCAGTTAATGTCAGAGCACGAATAAGAAGCTCACTCAAACATCTAAAATTCGTACTTGATAGATCCCAATTATAAAGAATTATTAGATAATCCATTGAAGGAGCAATCCTTTAACGATGTGCTTTTCTCCTTAAATCTCAAAAGATATTTTCAAGTACAATACATTCAGTAGCTAGGATATTATATTTGGAAAATTTGATACACATCTTACCTGTATGTATGTATTGTACTTTTAGTACATCTACTATATACATATATATAAAATAATTTCTATATTCTAATACAATACGTGTGGCACATGCGATAAGATATACACCCAGCAAACATTTTTATGATGGAAATTTCTTTTTGACTATTATCGATAATTTTGAACCAAATTGATTGACGATGCAAAAATTGTTCAATACTTTTGCTTCGTATTTGTTATATAAATATCTCAATAAAATACTTTTTCACAGCACAGAAGTTACCGCTAAAATATAAACAAATCTCCAAATTAAACAGTGACGTCAATTTATTTTTGTCTTTAAATGACTACGCTTTTTATTGTCTAAGCTAAAATTTGACATTTCAAAATCGATTTGTAATTTTTTTATTAATATTGTAGGCGATTGAGTTCAAAATATACTATATACACGATTACTATATCAGGGCTGATTATATCAGTCAGACATCTAAACGTTTTAGGTAAACATATAATGTTTTTGCATATTTTCAAGGCAGATTGATTTTGGTTTTCGAACTAAACTTTTTAATTACCAAATTGTAGAAATTTCTGTAAATTTGTTTGGTGATGATAACATTAACATTCATTTCAATAAAAGTGTGCTTGTAATGCTTTAAATATCGTTCGGGCTAAAGTGTTTTAATTTAATAAATTTTATAGCATACATTTGTGAGTTAAGCCTTTTATTCGATGAACACACTAATGCGAAAATTTAACAAAACTAATTTGATAATCAAATTTTAAGCATCAAGAATCCTTAATTATTTTGTTTAGGTAGTAAACTTGTTTTTGCATTGTTCGCGCAATGTTTGTTTGTAACAGCCTAACCTGTAAACGGTTGATAATTGGATTAGTTCAATGGCTGCGCAGACATAACTACAGAGGCTTATTAATGGTTACGCTGACGGCGTTCTTTAGTACAGTAGACCGCAGTTAAACTTGAAAAATTGCCGCTTTTGTTTGTCAGCGCATGCAATAGAAAGCGGTATGTGTTGGGAGCTTACTTCTCTGATTTACTGCCTAGTAGGTCGCGGCTTATATCGATAAAGTTTCGATCGAACAATTTTTGTAATAAATCTTTTTCGTACCAAAAAGGCCACTAAAGATCATTTGGAGATTGAAAATGACAATAAAATGAACTTTATCACAGTAATTATTCTATTTGCAAAAAACTTTTGAAGAGTCAGTATTTCTAATCCATCAGACCTTTACTCAACCTTATGCTTTCTGATATAATTTGAAATCTTTTTATGCTACTCAATAATAATAGGCGTAAAAGATTATGATTTAATAACAAATTAGAATATTTTCTTCATTATTTAATAGGTAGAATGAGAAGCTAAGGTCCAATAGATTATACCAGAATTTGTACCTTCACTCGGTGTTAGTTTGAAGTATCTGGTGTGTTGGTGCTTCATTAAAAGTTCGAGTTATGTGAGTCGTGAGAGACATGATGTTTTAAGAATGTATACATTTTATTTGCGATGTCTTGCAACTGTCGAGGTAAAGTGTAATGATTGTTTGACTACCATTCGGCAAATCGTGATGTTCAAAAATTAAATAAAATTCTTCTCTAAAAACATTCAAGACCCTCAAAACTCAAAGTCAAACCTTCCAGAGTATTTGCATTTCACTTACTGAAACCCTCCTCCTATCACCTAATGAAAAGTTGATTGGGTATACAACTTAGTTGAGTTAGTTAGTTATGAGACTTGGCTGATTTCCGGATACAAGCCCCCTACAATACACGTCAAACATCTTCATCACATTTCAAGTAGCCTTTGAAACTTGTGCCTAGTTGTGGTTATGGATGTCGCCAAGAGGAGGCGTAATGTATGCTCAGTTGCATTTCGAGGATGTCTCTTGTGTCAAGAGAGCTGACAGTTTTTATCTGCACTTAAAGTGATGTATATGAGTCAACACGTATGCGTCTACATATGACGAAAGTGCATATAATCTACCTATGACATACATATACACGTGTGGGTACATATATATTTAGTGTATATGCATAGCCCATACACTCTTAAGCCCTCAATGTTAGCTTAGTCAGTGACGCTTTGCCTTTGACCCTCTGAGGAAATTGTTATATGCGCAGCAACGAATATTCCTCAAACAAAACGCTTGTTAATCAATACACACACATACACATATATATACACAATAAATAGTTGCAAGCTTAGTTCTCAGTTGTCAATACAATGTTTGGGGCGTTTGGTGCATTCTATGTCACCAGGTACGCCTTTATGCCTTTCTATTCTGTTGTGTGTAAGCGCATATATGTATGTGTGAGTATGGCTGCGTAAGTGGCTAGTGTGAACTTGGTACATTCAGGAAGTGGGCATATTTTGATGTCACTAACAATGCATAATTGCAACGATTCGCAACGCTAACTCAACTGGCAATTAAACACTTGTTCAAGGTCTCTCTAGTGCCACAGTTTCCTTCGTCAATGTCAGGGCCGTGGCCTTCCACCCGGCCGGGTAGCCACGACAAAATTTGCAAACGAAAATTTGCTTAACTTTTAGTCTGCTGAATTGTGCAATATTGTGCAAAGTTAGTTTGATTTATCGCAGAGGTTTTAAAGGCACCTTGTGCTTGTTGCCTGCTAATGGCTTATTGGCTTTATTTGCATGCCGAAAATAAATATATTTGTATGTTGGAATATTTGTAAAATATTGGGGCAATTTTCGTGTTTATACACTTCCCTTGCTTTTCTAATGCTAAGTAAAATATCACATGTCGGTAAGTGCTGAGAACCTTAAGAAAGGTCAGTGGTTGTAGCTAGTTAGCATGGCTCAGCAAGTTTGATTTGTATGTAAGATTTATTTCTAAAAATTTCGTAAATCCAACTGACTTCGAGGTCTATTCCACTTATTTTATATGACTATAAATATTTACAATATGTAATGAATTGCGTGTGTGTACATGTGCACCCTTACCCTATGGTCGCATCGATTGACTATGAGTAGACAAGTTTCTAGTGAACTAATGATAGCATATGTTTCCTCGTACTTTTACAACAATTTTGTACAACATCGTATTTGGGTATAAATATGTTTCCCTTGTAGTACTTGTTTCCGAAATCTTGAATGTAAGCGGATATAGACTGTAAGCTGTGAGCCAAAATGTATTTAATACTATACTATACTATATGGCTGCTACTAACTTTTTACTGGGTTGCTAATGCTAATAGTTACTGTATCGAACTCTGTAAAGGTTCGTTGATTTACAAGTAGTGTTGATATTGTAAAATGTTTTCCTATAGACCACCTACATCGCTATACTCTTTTCTACTATAGATACGTGAGTATTGAAACATTTTCATTTAGTTAAAAGTTTTGGTAAAATAAATCTATAACTACAAGATTTTTCGAAGCCGACAGAGCTCTGGAGTGGTAAACACTATTATGGCTTGAAACTAAATTTAAATATCACCTTCAGGCAACGGCTGTAGAGCATTCAAAGAAGATGGTTTCCCCATCATAAGAAATATTTGAAGTTGTATTACTTCAACTGATATTTTGATATAAATGTTTATCGTGCGAACTTCGAGAAATCATTTTAATTTCTGAATTTACTTAGGCATCTGCTAAAAACCTGCCATCTGATTCCAATAGTGAAATTGCAAATCGTATTACTTAGTTTAAGGTGTGATAAAATTCACTCGGTTAGTCAATAATACATCTTAATGCCAAAGAGCAGAGAAATGGCGAATCGAAGACAATTCCTATCAGTTTTCTTTATTAATTAGCTAAATAAAGTCGTCAATTACAAATAGTAAAAATTTTAAGTAGATTCAAGTTTACTAGTACGAGTTGAGAACTAGTTTATCATCACTGCTTCCTATCACTAGTACATACTTCTCCCCTACTTATTTGTTACTTCACTATTTAGTATGGTGGATTGTCTCATCGGAGGTGGAGAAATTGGGAAGTTTTATTTTTAATTTTACTTTTGCTTTTATTGAGTCATAACTTTAGGTTGTGTACACCTGTCTGTTTTCCCACGAGTCTCTACGTGAATGTACATATTCGTGACGTACAAGTCTTATTTTAAAATAAGGTTGTCTCGGTAATGGTCTTGGTTGCGGTTGCGCCGCGCATGCAATGTAAACATACAAATGTATTTATGTAAGTACGTATGTATATTTATTTCTTATGTGTGTAAATCATTGTTAAATTCTTCCATTTGCGCTTGCCCTTTGCGGCCCTACTTCGATATGTTCGTGTTGTTATATTAATGCAATTGCGTTCGCAAATTTTTTTTTAAAGGGTACACCGTTTAATGGCATGGTAAAAGTGGCCTTGCCCTTTACGGAGTACCGAGTCAACAGTTTGCGCTTTTTATTGTTTCCATAAAAAATATCAAATAATGCATTTCGAAGTATTGGTCTCAACAAAGATATATCGAAAAATACATACATTTTTTTCAAACATTTGTATATAGACTGTAAATTTTACAGTTATTTTTTGTATAACGTCACCCTTTATTTTAGCAGTCTTTGATTTTACCGTTAAATTGTGCATTTGTCGAATAAAAACTGTAGGAAATTGCTGCAAATGGCAAAACACAATACAATTTATGTCGGTATCAATAACCGTAATTTGTGTAAACCAAAGGAGAAACGAATTTTGGTGTGGGCTGTCATGCACCGTGCGAGTACGAGTATAATTGGCATACTGCTAGGCGCATGGCAATACATTTACTAAAAACAACATCGGTAGCACGTGTTCAAAGCGGCTTTTATGCCTGTACACGCTATTAAAATGGACATGCGGTTGTATATAGAACTGTATAGAAAATTTTGTATGCTTAGCCAATGAGTACAAATACATATGTATTTATATTTATGATATTTACAATTAATTTCTCACTCGGAATGTTATCAGTAATGTAAATTACTACTTATTGTACTTCATTCATTATGTAATATAATTTATATACTTAATAATAATAGAATATAAACAGAAATAAAACTTATACCTCCAAACGAGTTCCTCCTTCCATAAGTTGTGCGCGTCTTGACATTATAAAAAATATTTGTTAATAATATGTTAAATTTGTCAGCTGATTTTTACATTTTCCGAGTTTGCTCGTTTCAAATTACATTGCACTTATTTTCACTTTATTTAATAAGGTATCTAATAAATTGACAGGGTTATCATAGCTCGACAATAAGGGAGCTAGTGGAAGATTACCTCCCTATCTCCATCAAATTTTTGTACAAAATTGCATGCTACAATTATACCATTTTAATAAAATTTGTTAATATCGACTAATATATGTATATGGGTAAAATATTCTCATAATTGAAACTAAAGTAAGTCGATTACGCAAAGTTACGAATAAACTTCCATATTGAAAGGAACACTGAGAAGGGCGGTCCAATAAATATGTAAATACTTAGTTGAAAAAAATGGTGACTTAAATATCTATTTCTCATCATAGCCTCCTTTCAGCGTGATACACCAGTGATGCGCCAACTCATCTTACCCGTCTGAAAAATACTGATCTGGATTATGAAGGTTCGCTAAGTAAACCTCCGTCGCGCCAAAAATCTGCTCATTCGACTCAAATTTCTTGCTGTAAACTGGCCTCACATTTGCGATTCTGCTGAGTTTATAAAATATATTTATTATATATATACTTATATTTAAAATATTTATACTTATATAAGGCATACCAATTATTATCCTTACTATAATCATCAGTTTCTTTCATAATTTTTTTTTTTTATTTTCAGGCGTACGACAGTCGACAACTTATGGTCACCCTATTCGTTTGTCTTTGGGGTGCACGTCTTTCTGGATATCTGCTGTATCGCATAATCAAATTGGGTCGCGATAAACAGTTCGAAGACACAAGACGCAACATAATCAGATACGCTGTTTTCTGGACGTTTCAGGTGAGCAAAGAAGTATGAAACTTCTTTCATCTTTTGGTATTTCCATATTATTTTGTACTAACTATAATAGTTGGCAAATACATATGTATGTATAACTGACAATAAGCAAATAGTTAGCGTGCATATATGTTAATTTGTATTTATTTTTAACCTTCACGAATAAAAATTGACTACTGTAATGGAACATGTCAAGCCACAAATTATTTGAAATCCAATAAAATGCTGACAAAGTAATGAGATTGATTGAGGAGCGATTTACGGTTAAACGTACCATTATGCGGTTTTATTTATATATAGCATATGTACAGAAGCATATACAGATGTGGATAATTACATTTGATTAATTGAATGTATATCTACAAATGTATGTGTTATACTGAAGCCAAGGCAGTACTCAAAAGCTAGGGCGTGTAAAAAGTTTTTATTTCTGATTATTTACACTTAGGCATAGTTAGAAATATTCGATTTATATCGTTTTTTTCGATAACTTATTGCTGTTTTTTCATAATGCCACTCTCTTAGATATCCTAATCCCTATTGGCAAAAAATTCATAAGCTTCTCTTTAGGTTACTGGTAGTAATCGCTTAGTGCTAACTCCTGACTAAAAGTTGAATGCATAAGAACATCCCAACCAAGTATCCGGAGCTTCTGACGAGTCAATCCAGGCATAGTGACCGTTTGCTCCGACTCACAGCGATTCCACCACGACCGTTTTCGCTTGAATACATCCAGCTTCCTAACAGTTTTGTGAATACTTATCTCCTGAGCAATAGAAACAGTGCTTACATGATAGTTAGACTCGACGTTTTGTTTTATCGATATCGTCTTTATCGAAGAAAAACTGTAAAATATGAAGTATTTTCTCTTTATTTGTGCCCATCGTTGACGCTTGCTCTAACAATACTAAATCAAGTAATCAAAAGCTGTCTGAGAAATGTTATTAGTATAAATAAGTTCTCTAACGCCATATAAAACGCTCGTTCTTATACAACGCGAGATATATGTAGAATACTAAAGCCATATATTGGGAAAATAATGGATTTACTTGTACTAGACTTTTATATTGCAGTAAAATTCTTACTCTTAGATGGCTTAAAATCGCTTGCTAGTGAGGTTTCCCTAATATCAATTTAAGGTTGAGGCTCATTGATTAATAATGCAATTTTCTTTCAATCTCAATTCTGGCACTCTAATAAAATAATTTGCTACTCCGAGTAATAATTTATTCAAGGAACTTACATGAGGGGGTAGCACCAAGGCTCTTACCATAAATTGAAAGAAAGTTTCATCTAAGATATTAATTTTACGAGTATGATTCACAAGTCCGTAAAATTAATTAAAACAAGGAAAAACGTTAACCTCGGTTCCAACGCAGCTATAATACCCTTCACAAATAAAAAGTCTCCTTACTTTTTAGTGGTTCGATCTAAACAATTTGTTCAGAAACTTAATCGTCGTTTTGGTTAATTATCATTTGGCATGGATTCGGGAAGATATATATATATGATCAAATAGAGGAGTTTTGGCTACAATCAGTTGATTTTGACGTTCATTTTGCATGGTGGTTACCGGGGTTTCCAACAAATGAGCAACTTCTTCCGGAGGAAAGGAAGTATGCAAAATTTCAGATTGATATCTCAACTAGATCGTGTATATACACACAGATGGGCATGGCTAATTTGACTCAGATCGTAACGCTGATCATTTACGAACATATATATATTTTATAGGGTTTCCGACGTTTCCTTCTGTGTGTTACAAACTTCGTTGCAAACTTAATATACTCTGTTCAGTGTACCTATAAAAAAGTATGCATGAGAAAGTTGTAGAATATAATTCAACCAATAACTAGAATAGTTCTGGAAAGTGTGGAGAATTAATGTTCTTTGGGTTGAGGAATCAGTTTTTTTTAAATTCAAGCTATGCATATGTATGATATTATTGTACTTAAATAATAACAATAAAAAATTTAAATTTAATATCCTTTACTTTACGCATTTCCATTGCCACAACCTTGTATTCTCACGACTTTGATTTGCTTTTAAGCAATTATAACGGTGAAATTATTTTATACTTAGTACTCAGTGGCTCTAATGGTTACTGATTTTAATGGAAAATAGTCATTGATTTTATTGCTTATGACGTGCGTAGTTTGGCTTATAATTTTCCGCGTTCACGATAAATATTCATAACCTTCCATTTCCTTGTCAATGTGGGAATATGTCCACTCGTCGCTGTCAAGGGGAAATTTAACGAATGGCCACGCACGCAAACAGTTTACAATGTCATTGCATATAAACAAACATATGTACATTTAAATATAATGAAGGGTTTATAAATAATCTAAAAATCATGGAAATAATGGTTTTAGGAAAATTCGGCTTAATGCTTTCATGTGACAAAAAGCCTTGTTAGCGCCGTAATTTATTAATGATTTATGCGTGTAACTTAAATCAGCTGTACATACAGTATAACAGTATAGGATAGCCTTCTCTTTTAGAATGCATTTAAATTTATTTAGCGGAAATACCGTTTAGAATGATTTATTATCTTTTGAGAATGTGGAATTATGTAAAGAATGATTTTTTATATATTTTATCAATTCTACTCTTTATAGGCCGTTTGGGTTTATGTGGTCTCATTACCAGTCATAATCATTAACTCGCCTCGGCATTCACAGCCAAATGCCCCCAAGACTATGACGACATTGGATTCCACTGGCACGGGAATGTTCATAGTGGGATTGCTAGCCGAAACATATGCGGATTTGCAGAAGTTCTCTTTTCGACAGGATCCAGCAAATCAAGGAAAATTTTGTAATGACGGTAAGTTTTTTATTTACTTTTTTGAACACACACATAGATTTGTATAGAAAAGCAAAACAAAAAATTAAGAAAGTAATGAGGAGAAATCCACAATATTTCAAAAATTGCGTGGCATGAAAATTAGAGTAGATCTTTATAAACCTCAAAATGTGTCTGACCACTAAACGGTATAATCATATATCATTATAGGTGCTCGACCTTTGTTTAAGTATTTATATAGTGAAGCTAGGGGATTCGGAAGTTTTATTAAAGTGGGAGCTTCAATCATGTAGGTTTGTTTCCAATTACTTATAAATTCAAAACCGCAAACATGTTCACCTATCGATAAAGAAGGTTAATATTTTCTATTATTTCTAGTTTAATTTGTGGTTACATTATTACAGTTTCTAGAGATATTGCATTTTTTTCAAATAAAACATAAATACTTTATTAGTTAGTAGATCTCATAGTTAGCTATAGTGAATGTGATGATCGTCCTGTGAACCTAATTTTTCACATATTCGGCCTTATCTTGTCGCTGGCTTATCAACATAGACCATTTGTGAAATATACCCTGACAATATTTAGTATACCCTAGAGTAAAAAATATGATCAAAATGATAAATTCGTAGCACGTCTCAATAAAATTTTGGTTTCATTCACTGACCCTAAAAGCGAGTTTTGGAAAAAAACCTCCACGATTTGGAATCCGGTGTAAACCTTTGAATATAATTTTCAAAAGGGTACGATTGTCAACCAAGCCATAATACTAGTAGTTGTATGAGCTTCATAGTGAGGTCCATAGTGGTAAAAAACAGAAAAAGTAATAAATTTAGAGTATTGTCGGTTACACCAGCTTAAAGGCAAAAATCCACTTCAAGTGTTAGAGTTGACTACTGAGAAGCAGACCATCATGTTAAGCTCTTGTATAGCTTAACATGTCACAGAAACCGTTTGATACTATTTCAAAATGGCGGGATATAAAAAGAAGCCGGATGTACAGTTGCCAATGAGTTAGCGTACAAAACCTCATGGATCGAATTGCCATCTGCGAATCGCTGGTGAATCGCAACAAAAAGCAGTTACTGGTGATAAAATGTGGGCCAGGCTTAAGAACGTCAAGCTAAAACGGTTGTGATCGAGTAGCGGCGAGCGGGCGCAAACCGTGACCAAGCCAGGATTGACGGTCAGGAAGACTGTACTGAGGACTATCTTACTTCGGACTGTCTTACTTCCTATACAACGACTGAACCGTTTAAAGGAAATAATCGAACAGAAGCAGCCAGCTTTGGCCAATTGAAGAAGAATGGTGTTTCATAAGAACAACGCCGCGCCACATATTCGCATTCAAAATGTGTCCTTCAATTATATTATTGCATTTTCCCCGAACTCTTTATATCACACTACATTCACATAGTGTGCATAATTAATTTGTATTTTTTATGAAATCCCACATAGTCTTACTTGCCTGTTCGCTGAAATTCAACTCATTTCTGTATTCCCTGACCACTTTCTTTCATATGTTCATGCCAAGGGCGACATTCCAATTATGCATTAAGCTTGTATGTATGTGGGCTTGACATTGAGTCCGTCGTGATTTCAGCACAATTCCGTATTAATTTCCTTAAATCCACATATGAACGACATACTTATGGGCCAATGTATATATAAGTACTATAGATATAATACATACATATTTGTATTGTACATACAATGTATATATATATGTATATTGTCACTCGTGCTGTGCTGTAGCGCTTCATCTTATTAAATTAACCGTAATGTATCTACATATTTCAGGTCTGTGGAGTCTATCGCGTCATCCCAATTACTTCGGCGAGGTTGTGATCTGGTGGGGTATTTTTGCCATTTCATTAAATGTTATCTCCGGTCACGAATGGGTCGCTATCGCTTCACCCATCTTCACCACTTTCATTATACTTTTCCTCTCCGGTATACCGTTGCGTGAGCGTTCGGCCGATGAGAAATATAAAGAGTAAGTAAATAATTGAAGAGCAAATACTGATGGTTTATGAGCCAATTAATTCATTGCTTACACGTTTACCGCTTTTTCTTTAAACATGCGAACACATGTGCGCTTTTGAAAAATAGCCAACTGGAATATCGTAAATACAAAGCGTCCACATCACCCTTAATACCGATACCGCCATCGGTGTATGTGGAAGTGCCGAGCGCATTGAAATTCATCCTGTGTTGTGAGTTTCCCATTTACGACACCATGCGCATCCAGAAAGACATCAGTCCCTACTCCTTGTCCATAGCACGTTCACACTCACATATATAGCAATCAGTTGCCCACTCGGGTAGTGGGCAACATGGCGCTGTGGGACATTCATTACAGCGACACGGTACCGACGCGGGCTCCATGCATCGGGGCCAATGCTATGGTGCAAACGGTGGCGATGCGGAGAGTCATCAGAATTGTGGTGGCAGCTGTCGTAATGCACACATCAAATCGAATCCATATCAGAGTGAGTCGGGCTATGGTGGCTACACCGGTTACAACATTAACGGTAGCACGTCACAACAACGGCATGCCAATCTCAACGCCGTGCACAACACCACCGATGATGATGATGATACCGACGATGGTATTATCTATATGCCAGGGCCATCATCGTCCAAAAAGCAGCCACACTACTTTCATGCCCCCATGGTGAACGCGATGACGGCGGAGAAGAAACATGCTGTCGAGCAATCAGATGGTGAGGAGCAGGTGGAGCAGGAACTCGAGGAGGACTATGATGAGGATATACCGCCAATTGATTTAAGTAAAGCGCCGAGCGTAGAAAGTTTCACGACGAAAGTGCAGACCGAGAAGGGTGTCAATGCGGATGGTGCGTCATTTACGGTAACTACAATACTGTGATCGAACAGCGTTGAGTTGCAGTCAAATTAAAATTACATATACCTATGTATATGCATGTGGGTGTACCTGTACTGTGCGGGAGGCCGAAGCATATATCGTGTGTGTAATTGTTCAGTTCCAAATGCAATTACTTGAGTGAGTATAAAATTTTATTTGTTGCACGCATTCCAACAACTAATGTATTTGCCAGTAATTAGAAGAAAATAAAGACAGACACAGAGAGAGAGAGGAAGAGGAAAAAAGAGTCGATCCATGCCATTTAGTGGCATTTAAAAACCGAGAAAGTATTAAATTTAATTGTGCTATTCGAAATGATTTGCGTTGTTGTGTGCAATAATGTGCCAAAGGCTAACATTTTATTTAAGTAGCTAGCAAATTTGTATGAATGTACGCTTGTAAGCTCTTTAAGTACGCAAAGGAATGCCTAATATCAAAATAAAAAACAAAAAAGCAGTATATAGAAGACCGCTTATACTCTGATCTCTATGCCGTAGTATGCAAAGTGCTATTTTTAATAAGTAAAAAAAAGAAAACAAGAAAATTACTGTCTTATAACTCAATAAAGCTGTACATTTGTATATGTACTGTAACAAAACTACAGTCCAAAGCAACAAAAACAATTACAATATACTCTAAAAATGTGCCTGTCATTTGTTGCACTTATTCAAAGTCTATAAAATTGTTATGAAATTATGCAACCAAAATACCTAAATGAAACCCAAAAACATATAATACTATGATATATTAAAAAAATAATAGGTATGCACATTAGGGTGGTGCTTAATACACAGAAACGAATTTTTAAATTTCCCAAATCTTAACTCTGCACGACTATACAACTATGCCGAAAAAACACACACAACAATTTTAGTTCCAATTGAGAAAAATTCAATTTTTTAGTCTTCATGTAAAAATATAACACTTGATCTCTGTGCAGCAATCTTTAACCGCCTGCAAGCAAGTCGTAAACTTATTTGTTAGTTTTATGTGCGTGGTGTTATCGATTGAGGCGGTGAGACTGAAAAAATCGTATTTATAATTTTTTTAAGGACCACCCTAAGGTATATATTTGACTCTAGAACGAATTGTATATAAAATTGCTTGTAAATAGTTATTTACAAACATATTTGTTGTTGAATATGTACCGTAAACCAATTTTGAATTCCTAACCAAAACCTAGAGTACTTCTGTCGAACATTCTATCTATAAGTAATAAGAACGACTAAGTTGTAGTTGAGTATTACTGTTTATTTCGATGCCTTGAAAATACTGCTTTCATTTTCATATCATAAGTTTTACATTTTTATGTCTTCTTAAGATATGTTAAATATAAATACACTACAAAATAAGCGCCAAAGAAGTCTTATATGGAGTTGTCTTAGTACCTCTTGATAGGTCTACAGCTCAAGTTCTGTGCCATATCGAATCTAACATTTTGAAACTATTTCTAACGTTGAAGTGTATTTCTATCAGGAAAAAGTTTTACGAAAACCCAAAAGCACTCTGGAGCGGCTCTTAGAATATTTGTCGAATAAAATCAAAACAAGAAAAAACGCTTACTTCGGCTGCATCGAAGTTATAATACCCTACACGGGTGAATTTTTTCTAACATAAATGGGTTTAAAAAAATTCGTATCTTGATTTTGATTGATCAGTTTGAATAACAGCTATATCCTTTAGTCGTCCGTTCTGAAAAATTTATAAATTATAGCGTTGCCTTAGGTTATATTCCATGTCAAGTTTCTTGTCAAACAAATAAGTTTTCCATACAACAACTTGATTTGGATCTGTCAGTTTGTATGACAGCTATATGCTATAGTCCGATATCGGCGATTCCGACTAGGGGGCTAGTTCACGTATACTCATATACAAACAGGCGACAGCTCATCAGCCGAAACTGTCAAAAACTCACTCGGGACCAATATGATTCGATTTTAACCCAATGAATCTCCGACTTATTCTAAAGAGCAAAGTCATGTTTACGAAAATATCATAATTTTTAAGAACTTATTGTTCTTTTATTATTGACATAATGTACTCATGAAAATAGAGCTGCATTTTTTGGCAAGCGAGTTGTTGTGATTTTTCATTAAGCAGCATTACGATCGCTTAACTTTTTACTGAGTTCTCTTGAATAAAATGGTTTATATTATTTTATTTCGTATTATATATGTGCTGCTTTATTTTACGACTCAGTTGCAAACTAGTGCAGTTTTTATTGCATGTTTGTAGATATGTATGTATATGTAAGTAAACTTTTATATGTTCAAAAAGTTGTTATATTTTCGTATTAACCGATTCTTGTGATAGAGACAACTGGACGTTCGTTTACATACAGAGTACTATAATAAGTAAATATGAATGTATGTGGATATACATACATATAAGTAACATAAATATGGGCAACTGAGGTATCAGGGAAACATTATTTGTAAATTTGGTATTGAAGTCCCCAGCACCTCAATACAACCGATTTAAATTCTTTAATATATTTTTTCCACTAAAATAAAAGTTGACTTCAATAAAATAAAATTAAAGTCAAAGAATAATTTTATTTTCGAAGTTTTGACTATGTTATCACCCAGAAATAATGCGAACGCTTTACAAACCCTTTTTAAAGGATTTTTTTCAACCATGAAAAGTCGGAAGAAATTCTGAAATCAATTTTTGGTTACTATTATTCCGACAGTCGTTTCAGTTACTGTTTGAACATATGGTATATCTATATAAATATGGTACATAGATATGTAGTTGCAAAAATACTCAATAGAAGTAGATACTACTTGCTGCACATAGTTAACGGCGGTATTACACCACACAAGACCCACCATCATAGCAGATGTCGCATCAAACATATCCAATAGCAAGCCCAACAAAAGTTTTAACTTTGAACTCGAAGTACAACTAACCATAAAAGTTTTAAATTAGAGAAACAAAAAAAAAATTAAATTGAACTACATTAATTTTAAGCCATTGCAGATTCCTTTATAAAGTAGTTCAAGAACTTTAACATATCCAATCTCGTATGTCTGTATGTACATACAAACATATAACGAAGGCAACTAAAACAAATTAGCATGTTAAAGTCGTGTACTTGTTGCAAGAAAATCAAAATTACATATAAAAACTGAACAAGTATTTTAAATATTTTCTACTTGTACACATCCCCTGTAACCCCTTATTAAGTGGAGATGTGTTATTGCAAGTTAAATTGGATGTGGAAAGAGTAATGTATTAAAAAGTAAGAGGCACTTTGAAAATGTAGCAGGAGGGGAACAAAAACAACAAAAATTCGAAAGACCTAAATATTTTTTGCTTTTGTTTTCTAGAGTATTACACTTTACAACAAGAAATTATTACGGTATATTTAAAACCATTTACAATTAAAACAAAAATTAAAACTGCAAACCTGCTGCTGCTTACTTTACAATGTGCCCTAGGGGTTAGGCCAGTAGAGACTCTAGTAGAGCCAGTAGAGACTCAGTAGAGCCATGAAAATAAGCCTATATTTCAAAATTTGTTCCAGGTTCAGGAAAAATGGGCTTATATAAAGAAACAGTGAAAAATTATGTTGGCATTTTGATACAAAATAGTGGCTACAGAGTCAATCTTCGGTACAACGTATTTCAAAACGGCCTCTACGGACATCGGGAGTTCTAAGAACTCGTGTTAACTGAAACAAAACTAAAATCGGTATCTTAATCTACATGAGACTTGTTAGTAAAGTTGCTTTAAATAAATAAATGTTTCGCAAAATTGAATGATCATAAAAAAATAAAGAAAAATTAGAATGAAAAAGCTACAAAAAATTAGTAAATTATTATAGTTTATTAGATAATTTAACTGTAAAGCTATATAAGGTTCTGCTCAGTTTCGAAAATCAAGCGCATTTAAAATTTGCTTACTTACCTGAACGCTTCCATACTGCTCCACGTTGATTGATGTTTTTAGGATCCTTAAACCAAATTATATTTAAAATGTTTGAAAATCCTAGACTGGCCTAACCTCTTTACAAAAACAAATTTCGTTATATGACTACGATATTGTTTTCTTTTCTTCTATATTATTATACAATACATTCTACTATTAGTTAATTTTGTTTTTGTAATATAAAAAAACTGCTACAAAATTCGCAACTGCTCAATTTTGCACACTCATGAGCGCTACTGTTGCTCAACACATAAAACACTCGTGTATTTGCTCATAAGGCTCACGTATGGTTCATGAGTGAGCACTAACGGATTTTGTACTCACACTCTAATGTTATTGAGATATTATAATATATGTATATATATATTTTTTTTTTCAAAAATTAAAAGACTTACTATTTTAATAAATTTACTAAATTAACTAATTCTTAAGAAAGGAAACATAAACGCGATTTTAATACTTCAAATAAAGAAGTTTGCTTACGAACAGCCTATGGATGAAGAAATTCTCATTTATTTAGCTTAAATGCTGTTCTAGACTTGGAAACAAATTTGGCATTTTTGTATGCATGTATACACACACATACCTATACACATATTCATAATAATATCAATTATAGACTAATATTTATTAGTATGACCCTGTAAATATGTATGTATACGTATCCCAAAAACAACAAATATACATGGTGTGTAGACGTGCATATACGAGTGTAATTTGAACATGAATAACTGTGAAATCTTTATAAGAACAATAAACAATTTAATATATAATTAATATTTATTAATGATTGTTAGTGTGCGAAAAAAGAAACAAAAACAAGCAAAATTAGTTGTAGCATAAATTTAAAGAAAATAAATGTTTTATTTCAATAACTACATTACTAATATACTATATAAAATTGCCATTTACTCGTACAGTATTTATTAGAAAATTAGTCAAATATGGCAACTGCATAAATAATTATTATATTTACATACATATTACTAACTAACTACATATGTACTCGTATTTGTACTTGAGAAATACAAAAATGACATAAAGACATAACTGCATAAATTAAAAATACCAAAAAACAAAATAAATAATATTTACCTTGAAAATCATATATAAAATGAAGGTGTAAAAGAAACATGCGAACATATAAACAAATACTCAAAATTGCATACGCTGTGGTTACTAATAAAATATTTAGTGGATGCGAACAATGGGCAAGTTTTGCCATAAATGCTTTTTTAATAAAAACCAATAAATAAAAACAGATAAATAAAATAAATAAAAAATAATTCTAGTACTATGTAGTGGTGAGGGAAGTGTTTTTTCGTGCAAGTCTTTTTGAGAAATCATTGAAATATTTACAATATTAAAAAAGGAAACATTAAAAATTCATAACAAGCAACAACAACTCTATAATAAATTTAAACTGTATATTCAAAAAATATCTAATATTCTCTGTTTTTTTAGTAAACAAAAAGATAAATTATAAATATATATAGACAACAATTATTTCCAAACATTTTATGCGTAAACTTTATTTTTTCTTGGAAAGCTATTGCACTTCGTCCTTTAATGACTTATTGAATGGTCAACTTGTCTTTTATGACGCCAGAGGCATACAAGGTAGCTGGATTAATATTAATGAAGTAGAGAGAACAATTTCTGCATCCGTTACTCTTTATATTTGCGTTTGGCAGCTATCATAAATGATACGGCTCATGCCATTAAATTTTCTTGAATGTTTTGGGCATAAATGCTTATTCGTGATTTTTTAGCCAAAAACAAAACCGTAATCATGCCTCAACCACCGTATTCATCACATCTGGCTCCCTGCGACTTGTTCCTATTTCCAAAACTGAAGAAACCAATGAAAAGAAGCGTTTTGCTACAATTGATGAGATCAAGTCAGAATCGAAGAAAGAACTGATGGCCATACCGAAAAGCGCATTTAAGAAGTGCTCTGAGGATTGGAAAAAGCGTTGACACAAGTGTGTTATATCCGAGGGGCATTATTTTGAAAGGAACAAAATAGATATTAATGAATAAATATATATACACAAATTCCAAATGCACCTTTTACTTTGAACACACCTCGTATGAAATGTATATATACCATCTGATCAAATTTAACCATTCGGAATGGTTCATTTAAAGTGCGCACACAACCCGAAACTATAAACATTTTTTCTTAGTTTGGTACAATCTTTTTTATTTTCGAGTGAAGTTTATCTCCATAAATCAATTAGACTGTGTTTGGCAGCTGTTTATTTTTATTTTTTACAATGGAAAAAAAGTTCAAGAACGAGTTTGTTTCAGATTTTATGCATTCAATGGAAACACGGCTACGGGGTCATTGAAAATGTTGCAGAAGTGTTTTGGGGAGTCTACGTAATCACGAACGCAAGTATTTGAGTGGCACAAAGCATTCAGTGAAGATCGTAAGTAATCGAGCGAGTTGTCCATTCAGCTCTCTTAACGCGATAACAAGTTAAAGAAACAGTGTCGTCAGAGAGATAACAGAGGATCTAAACATCTCTCCACGTAACACATTTCAGCTAATGTTACGTACAAAAGACCTGAATCTTTTTCAAAAACGACGTAGAGTAGAGGTCGCAGAAGAAATGCTTGATGCGTATGTTAGCTGAGGATGCCACATTCATTAAACGCATCAATACTGGTGAGGACACGTGGGTTTTTGAATATGACATCGAAACTGTACAACAATCTAGCTAATGACGATGCAAAAATAAAGGCACTGAAGGCCATCCCAGGCGATGTTATAACAAGCATGTACTTGTATATGGTAAATTAGATTAAACGTTGCCATGTTTTTATTTTTGCTCAGGCGCATATTTTGAAGGCGATAATAAAGATTTGATTGAATAGATGGTATACCAAAATTAAACGAGAAAATCCGTTATTTAAATGTATAGAAAGGCATTGGCTAAAATTCAGTAATAGAATGTATTTATAGTTTTGATCGGTCTTTATTTCACTTAAATAGGTGTGCCTATGCTGCCACTTCTATTTATTACGCGCATTACCTAATATGTTTTAGCTTTGAAATTCAGAAGGTATCTCACTGTATGTCCCGAATTATTTATTTATTCGACATTAAACTACCAAGTCCAGGATTGGTAGTTTAATGTCGAATAAATCAATAATTCGGGACATACAGTCAGATACCTTCTACAGGTAAGCGATGTATATCATACCTTGTGCCTATAGGACCGTTTTTCCCTTCTTTGAAACAGGTTCGCCGGATGAAATGTACGTTTTCGACTGTTTTTTGGTCTCTGGGATGTAACAGTGTATCCATGTCGCGCAGAGCTCATTAAGAATATGACACACGCGATCTTTTGAGATGACTCACCTATCTCGCGTACGTTCAATCGAAGGTCTGTCAGTACAACATCGGATTTTCGTAATGTTATCCACTTTCAGACGCAGTCAAAATAAATCTATGAATACGATCTGGCTGAAATTTAGACAGTATTCGTCTACGAGTCTAAGCGCTTATCGGACAGTTAAAATTATCTGAGTTGTTAAAATAAATGATATCAGGAGTAACGAACATTGTACACTGGAGCATTATTCTGAAAAGTTACTCGATATTAGCTAACCTTGATATGACTTATGTATTTGCTATTACTATGAATTTTTGACAGTTCCGTTCGTTTACGAAGTCGAGCATAGCAATCTTGTCGCGCTGTCATACATAATACATAATTCATCCAATAATAATTCGTGATCTAATCTAACATACTCAATTCTCTTAAAAAGTTCAAGAGGAACTTTAAGTTTGAGAACTTTTTTCCAATATTCCGTAATACTTCGATACAAATTTATACTGTATATGTTTTAGGCTTTGGTTAGTCATAGTATACTTTATAGATAATAATGCTTCCAATACTTTATATAAAATCTTTTCAGTCAATATAATATTTTACTAGTCAGTAATATGAAATATTTCCAATCGACTATACATAGAGAAAATTTATTTGTAGCATTTTTAACGTACGATTTTCTTGCTTAAAAAACACAGAAATCCATTTTTACAAAAATAATTCGCGATTATATTTAATACGATTTTATTTTAACTGTACAAACACAAGTTAATCACCATGTTTAGTCTTTTACGTTCCAAATCGTTGGGCAATGTTGCCAAAACTATAAACCGTATATTGCCGCAGCTTCGTACGTACACCTCGCCAATGGTCAATCAGACACTTCAGTTACAACAAACAGAGATATGTGCAGACCCGCCTACGCGTGGTCTAATTTTGGGTGTCTACTCTGATGAGGAGAACAAATACGACACTGGTATCTTGACACCGTCTGCGTGGCGCTATAATGTGCAAAAAACAGGCGGGCGTATGTTGGATGTGCTGCGCAAATCGGGTCCCATGCCGAAACGGGGTGAAACGCGTATCTTATTTGCAATCGAACCAGAGAAGATACCCTACTATTCGGCTGTGGCCGTTGTGGGTTTAGGTAAGGAATGTTTGGGCTATAACTCTTACGAAGTGGTTGACGAACAAAAGGAGGCGATACGAAGATCGGTCGGAAATGCTTGCATGGAGCTGGCTTACCTTGACACTTACAGCATTGAGGTTGAAAATTGTGGTCACGCAGAATCGGCTGCCGAGGGCGCTGCACTGGGCATATGGGCGTATCAGGAGTTAAAGGATCCTAAGAAACGCATAAGCATACCCACCATAGATTTGTACACGCACAAGGATGAGATTTGTGATATTGAAGGTTGGCGAATTGGGTTGCAAAAGGCGGCTGCACAAAATTTAACGAGGCAACTGCAGGAAATGCCTTCCAATATGCTTAC